ACACAGTGATGAAAGTGGCACATCTGGAGCAGAGCATCGCTGTCTAAATATATTAAACACACAGATGTGAAGTGTAATTTATTCAGAGCATGTACAATAACTACACACCAAGGCCTAGATGCAGCCTCACAAACATGTGTGTGTGTGTGTGTGTGTGTGTGCTGCCGTCCTTTTTTCTAAACCAGACACTGAAGTTTTCAAACGTCTCTTTTAAATATCTCCACTTGTTTTCCCCAAGACACTTTATGGGACCTCATTCTGCTTTGTTTCAACTCTTAGAAAATAAAATATACACACACACACACACACACGCACACACACACACACACACACACACATATGGAATAATTTCCCTTCCACTAGATGAAGTTTATTCTCCGTTCATAACAGGCATTTTTGTGAAGATTACACCCACAGAACTACACAAATATGCAGTTTGTTAATAAAAACAAATAAAAACATTGTTTTTCAGCAAAAGTAAGTTTTGTCACAGTCGAATAAAACTCGATGGATCCTTGTTTTGTGATACATGAAGATCAATACATGAAGATCAATACATGAAGATCAATACATGAAGATCAAGGTGTGTTCTGCTCTAATAACACAGTTCTAGTTAAATACAACATGTTCAGAGGCTAAAATGCACAGCAGCTCTAATTTTACCAAATGACTCTGCTGCTGTTTGCATGCTTAAACAAAGACTTACATAACCCATGTGACTGCCTTTGAAATGCATTGTGCTGTCAAATGACCTTCCCTAAGTCACACCAGCCTCTGCTGATGATAAGAAAGTCATATTACATGTGTTTACTGTAACGCCTACGTCACCATACTGTAGTCTGGATCGTGGTGCTACGTCCACATGGTCACAAACTACAGTCATCGACTGCATCTTCAGCTCATGTAACGCCAATGTTTTTCTAACAAAGTTGTGGATGTGCTGCTTTCTTCTGACCACATTTATTAAACATTTTGTTGTCAAGATGTTTATTTCAACAAAAGCTGAGTTTCCATCCACCTGTATTTCTGCTACGTTTGTACACTGCACATTGAAGATCCTGCGTAGGTGTGTTAGAAATAAAAATATTGATAGAACTGTTGCTCAGCTGAGGTGGGAAAGTTAAACCCTGTTTATCACAACCAGCAAATAAAAAAAATAATTTAAAAAAATGACAGAATTAGTGGATAGTGGATCGGTGGGTAGCACCGTTGCCTCGCAGCTAGAAGGTCGCCGGTGAGGACACCCGGGATGGTTCTACATGTTGTGCCGTGGGTTCTCTTCCTCCCACAGTCCAGAAACATGCTGAGGTTGATTGGTCATTCGAACTGTGAGTGTGCTTGGTTGTCTGTCTCTAAGTGTAGCCCTGTGATAGACTGGTTACCTGTCCAGGTGAACCTGCCTTCCCCCTGATACAGCTGGGATAGGCTCCGCCCCCCATGACCCTAGTGAGGATTAAGGTGTAGAGATGATGGATGGATGGATGGATGGATGGATGTATGGATGGTTCTTGTACTGCACGAAGCCCATTTCTAAAGTTGTATCTCCTTCTAGCCATGGTCGTGCTGTTTCCATAGAAGTGCAGGACTTTACTTTGCAGTGAAAATAAGCCACAGTTAATTAAAATGTTAATAAATGAATGTATTGATGATTGCCTTTTGCTCCACATTTGCTTCTCTGTTACCACCAGTTGTTGTCAAACAGGCTGAGAAAGTGGGAACACATACACTCAGTTTTCAGCTCATGAGGTACATCTACCCAGAACCAAAGCGGTCTAATGAAACAGCTTTATGATCATTTTGGAGGCTGGAGCTTGTGGTGCTGTTGTCTCGTATACGAAGGGATTTTTCTTTCAGGTGGTCAGTCCATTCATACCAGTGACGAAGAGCAAAACACCAGAACCAGCTCACTGCATGATACAGTACGGTTGTCCTACATCTACCAAAAGGCCGAAGCAGCTGTATTAATACGTCTATAAATCCCAGAAACACTACAACATTCATTAAGGGAGGATTTGTGTGACTGTTTTGCACCAGTGCTGGTGATGGATCGCAGAGCTCCTTGAAAGGTCAAAAACTCTCTATCAGAACAAAATCCTTTAAAGGGAAATAAAGCATCTAGTTTAGATTTATTAACATGTTTGTATTCTTGTTTTTGTTTTGGTTTTTTTGACCAACAATAGCAAATACATGTGTGCAGCTAATAAGATGACCAACGGCTCTGTTCACGTTGTTTCAGTGAGCTCTGAAAGTGAATCACTGGCATTCCCAGGAAGCTGACAACGAAGCAGCTAAATGGGATTCAGCCATCATTAATGTGATTATATGTACACGTGCTTTTTCTGTTGTGACGGGTCAGAACATTCTCAGTATGCTGTTAGGAAAACTAAAACGCGTTTTAACAGTCGAACAATTAGGCGGCCATTTAGAAGCAGTACTTGGGACGTTCACTAATGTCTTTCTGGGCTATATGTCAACTTACACATTCATTACTTTAAAGTGTTTGGTCTTTGCTGATTTTAACAAGTGGACTGCAATAATTAAGCATTCTCAGCCCTCAACATCTGCACTGAATTAAAAGTTGGCCCGTAGTATAGATCATTATAAATGTGCACGCCAAGTAGGAGAAAAGTCTAACAGAACATGTGGTACGATGTAGTTTACAGAGATGAGCCCAGACAATAAAGCCTCTGAGAGCTGGAGTGAATCACACTCATCACCTCTTATAGAACAACGTTCTGCTGGGAAATCCATGTGGATGTTACTGGACAGGTACCATCCATACCTTCACATCATGTAGTATGTCAGGAAAAATAAAGATGTAGCGTCCCAATCACAGTGTGTCAGCTGCAGTGTGCCAAAGACGCGAGGATGTCCTCCTACATCCATTCTCATATTGCATGTGCTTCTGTGGCCATTCTGACCCACAATCCTCTGCACAGGGACCATGTGTCAGATATGTCAGAGTGTCTCACTTGAATAAACTTGAGCCACCAAGAGAGCACACACAGATGATTTCCCACCACAGACGGAGACAAAGGCACAATATTATGATCAGCTTGTACGTCCTGACTGTGTGCATGGGCAGTAAAAGGTAGCTGTAGTACGCACTGAAAGTAAAATGACTTAAAAAAGTATGAACATGTGTTCCTAACATCAACCTGCAGAACCTTTCATTAGCTTTATTTAAATAGTCACCATATATGAACAGAACAGTAATATTACTACAAAAGTAGGGTGACCAGATGGTGGACAGTCACCGGTCTGGCCCGGGTAGAGTGGTCTCTGAAAATGTCCCGGATGCTGACACTGGATGGACAGTGTGATGCAGAGCGGATCAGGGTGAAGGCAGAGGACACCTGGACAGGTAACCAGTCTATTGCTAGGCTACACTTAGCTAAAAAAAATCCCACAGATAATTAAAATGTATAAAAAAAGAATGCAGACCTGAAGTAACATAAAGTGGATGTGATTTGGAAGTTTGTTGTGGTGCCAGTCTGGAGGAAATATGAATAAACTTTCAAGTCATCTCTGAAAGACTGATGTTCAAAGCCTCAATTATAGAAGAAGTCATTTGAGGATGAGGCCGTCGCATTAATAGTAACTGAGAAAATGTAATTTAAAATGTAAAAGCCCAGCAGTGTGGATATGTGACCTGTCAAGCCTTAATTAATACCGTTAAACATAAATAGAGGCAAGGTAAATCAGTCTCAGATGCATTCGGCCTGTCTGAGATGTTGGCTCTTTAAATTAGTAATGCGGATCCTTATTTGTGATGCAGGAAAGACGGGTCTGGACTGAAACACGTGTTCAGAATAAAGACATCCAGAGCAAAACAACATAAATGTCAGCGGGAATGCAAACTGAGCAACAGCTGCCTTTGAGCTGAATCTTTGTCTAATAGCTGGACCATTATTCTGGTTACCTGCCGGGACATTTGTGCCAGTTTAGTGTTTATTCACATCTTGGTGTGAGTTTGTGAGTTTTGGTCAGAGTGACTGTTTCTCTTCTTTCTCTACTCCATAGTTCAGAAGTACGCATGCTTGTGTACATTCATGCATTCGCCTGTTCTCGGCTTCTTTCACTTATCAGGACATGAGTGTGTATCAGAGCTTTACACACAACAAACACACTTTAAGATTCTTGTGTTTAGGGTACATTAACATATAGCCTCAGGCGGTAAACATTATGCTGAGTTCATATGAAAAAAAAAAAAGGATGCGATTTTAAATATAGTTATTTTAGTCCGTCTGCTTCCAAGTAAGGATTTAATCATTTATAATATGTGGCCTTCGAGATTTTTTAGTGCTAACAGAAAAAGGATATCTGAATTTCATGAGCTCATGAACACTTAATGAATTATCATATCTTCAAAATGGATCTTGGCAGCAGAGACTGAGATACAGACAGCCTTGGTCTGAACAACAATGTCTGTGTTTGTGAGTTAAAGCAGCTGATAGCTGATGTGTGACTGTTTAAAGCTGCATGAAATGATGGCATTAGCATTAGCATTTCCTGTTTACAATATTACAAACCTGAACAACATCAGCATTTGTTCTGAGTCAGGTTTCTAGCAAATAGCTAAGCTAAAAACCAGGATTAATAAGATCAGAGATTATGAAACTCACAAGAAGCAACCAAACGTGAACACCAGAGCAGCCTTTAAAAGAAAATTAGGCCTGTCTCAATAATGTTCAGGGAAAAGTCTCTGGTACTGATATTGGACCGAGCCAGACTGTCAATGGTTAATAATAGAGGTCAAAAAAAATCAAACATACTTTCTATAATCTGACACTTGGCACCACATCACAGTTGCTCTACAAATATTGTGTAGATCAATTCAACATCTAGCTTTTGTCTGTAGTGTCCAGTGGTGCTAATCATCTTAGTAAAGGTCATGATGGGTCCAACATCGACACACAGGCTATGTACCAAAGAGCTGTGGGGGTGGGACGGTAAATTTAACAGAACATAATGCCCACCAACACACATAAAAGTCCAACTCCCTGATGTCCCAGTGATGCCAAAGAAAGAAGTCCCAGAGGATCAAAGTAGAACAACTCGCTGTCCTTTTTCTGCCTGTAACATCACATTAGCTTTAAAAGCACCCAGCTGGGAGCATAACGATCAGAGGAAAAGGTCAGCTATTCTGCCAGGACAAAAGAGACGCCTCCCGCTGTGTTATTGTCGTTCTGACACTTGGACAGGTACCAGGTATACGTGCTTCAGTCGCCCCCCGTCAGCAGAAGTGCCTCGTAGTCTTCAATCACCTCTGGGAAACTGTTGAGCTTTCCGGCCTGGGCTTCCATTGTTGAGCTGGACCCTTTCCCCGGGCTCAGTAAAGGTCAGCAGGTAGGCTATGAGCATTGCAGAAGTGGGTACTTACAGCAGGGGTAATTGAGCAGCACAATGTCGTCCAAGGCAATGTAACCCTGTCGCTCCTCGGAAACGGTCGCTTCAAAGATGACCTGTGGAGACAATGGATAAATTAAATGACTACAGACCATTACATGTGGAGTGGCAAGTAGCCTGATAGAGTGGGAAATGAAAGGAGCAAAAGGCCAAAGAGCTGTCAAGAACAGAAACGCACACATCCTGAAGTAATGTCCCTGTACGTTTAAAAAGAAACTCTTAATTGTAAAGTTTCATCCTGGCATTAAACTCTAATTGGTAATGTTTTAATTCAGCTGTATGTTACTCCAGCCACTGTTTTTTTTTTTAGTAAAAGGTCATATGGATCATACAGAGGAAACCATCAGAGGAGGAGAACACACCAGCTTCTGTGCAAACATCAGCCTGAACGCTTCTGAACACAAAGCAGCACATGACAGAGGA